GAATTTACTTACTACCCCAACCGAGTAACTGAGATCGGGACGAGTATTAATCAGATATCGGAGACTTCCAATTATACGTCTGTACTTGGTTGGGTTGACTGCCTTCCCACCTTCATCCTTGGTCAGTTGCAATTTAGGATCCATTGGCCATTTTGTTGGGTTGCACTGTGACATTCCTGCTTCTTCCAAAATCTTTTCGGCATAAGTTTCCTGCTTAATTGAGATACTATCTTGCTCTTGATTCACCTCTATCCCTAGATAGTAATTCAACTTCCCCAGGTCACTCATGTCAAATATTGTGTTCATTCTAACCTTGAATTCTTGAATTTGTTTCTCACTCGACCCCGTCACAATCATATCATCAACATACACACCGATAATTAACATTGAGTTCTTACACTGCAACTTGTACACGGCTTGCTCATGTGCACATTTCTTGAACCCCAATTCTTTTAACGCCTTGTCGAGTTTCACATTCCATGACCGAGGTGCTTGTCGCAACCCGTAAAGAGCTTTGTGCAACCTATAGACCATTTCCTCTTTTCCTTTCACCTCGAAACCGGAGGGTTGAGTTACATAAACCTCTTCATTGAGTTCCCCATTTAAGAAGGCTGACTTGACATCTAAGTGATGTACAATCCAGTCTTCTTTTGCTGCCAAAGCCAATAACAACCGTATTGATTCCAACCGAGCCACCGGGGCAAACGCATCTTCGAAGTCTACACCCTTCTGTTGTACATAACCCTTGGCCACAAGACGTGCCTTGTGTTTTGTAATCGTACCCGATGCGTCTCTCTTCAACTTAAACACCCACTTTAACCCTATCACCTTTCGATTGGGCGGTAACCGGGTTAAAGTCCATGTCCGGTTTTTCTCTATCGAATCTATCTCTGCACGCATAGCTTTCATCCAATGGGTCTCCTTTGTTGCTTCAAGAAACGAAGCAGGTTCTTCATTTAACAACAACAAACCGGTTTTTTCATACAAATCTTGCATCTCTGCTTCTGTCAACACAGGGGCCCGTTGGCTTAGTTCATGAATGGAGCGAGTACCCCGTACAGGGGTGTCATCGAAGGCATCAGATGGTATAGTTTGATTGGTCAACCCACTGCTTGAGCCTTCTGTATCTGCAGTACCTGGTGGATTTAAAGAAGAAGAGAAAATATTATTATAATTTGGGGTTAATGGGGTATGTGGTCCCTCCCCATGATTTTCGTTGGTGGGCCTTGAATTTTCCATGTTACCCATGAATATGGGTTGTGCCATGCATGTGCTTCCTGACAACCTTTCATGTGTAGTCTCCCAAACCCATGATTTTGCTTCATCAAACAAGACATCACGTGCCACAACAATCTTTTTAGCTTTAGGATTGTATAGTCTGTAAGCCTTGCTCCCAGGTTCTATACCTAAATGAACCATAGGTATGCTTCTATCTTCAAGTTTAGTGAGATGACCTCCCATCTTTTTTACAAAAGCCAAACAGCCAAATATTTTTAAATATTGCATATTTGGTTTTCTTTTCTTCAAGCCTTCGTACGGAGTAAAGTCTCTCACGGCCTTAGTGGGAATTCTATTAAGCAAGTAAACTGCATGGCGTACTGCTTCCCCCCACATTGGATCTGGTATGTTCATGCTTTTCAACAACGACCGTGTCATCTCGACTACTGTTCTGTTCCTCCGCTCTATAACACCGTTCTGTTGCGGGGTATACGGCGTTGTGGTTTGCCTTTGGATTCCTCCTTCCTGACAGAAATTGATGAAGGCTTGTGAGTTGAACTCGCCTCCCCGATCTGTCCTTAGTATCTTCACTTTATGCCCAGTTTCCATCTCAGCTTGAGATTTGAAGATCTTGAACTTTGCTAACGCTTCTTCTTTTGATCTGAGTAGATAAACCCACATATATCTACACCAATAATCAACAATCAATAAAAAATATTTGTTACCTCCCATTGATTGTGGTGTTATTGGCCCACAGAGATCAGCGTGCACAAGTTCCAACGGTTTGGAGGCTCTCCACTGAGCTTCATTAGGGAAGCTTTGCCTTGTTTGTTTTGCCACAACACACCCATTGCACAATTGTTTGGGGTGCGAGACACAAGGCATTCCGGTCACCATTTCTTTCTTTCCCATTATTTCTAAAGTGTGGAAGTTAGCATGTCCCAAGCGGGCATGCCAAACCCATGCATCATCATCCAAGGAAGCTGCCAAACACGTTGGTTTTACAACCTGTAGTGCGATTTTATACAGCCTATTCACCGACCTTTGGACCTTCAACACAAGCTTTCCTTGCTCATTATAGACCCATAGGTGTTCATTATGTAACCATGCATCATAACCCACTTCAGTTAACTGGCCCAGACTAAGGATGTTGCTAGTCAAAGCCGGGATAAAATACACATCCGATATTACTAATTGGTCACCATTTTTACATTGGAACAATAGTGTACCTTTTCCTTTGATTTCAACCGTAGAGCCATCACTGAACCGAACCCGACCCGTGACACTTTCATTTAAATCTGCAAAGAAGTTTCTTTCCCTGGTCATATGATTACTTGCTCCGTTGTTGAAGTACCACATGTCACGATTGCTATCGTTTCGACTTTCATGCAGTTTAGGGAACACTTTTTCTTCATTCAACATTACCATTGATGGTATGTCCTCCCCTTCAACACACAATAAGAGGGTTGGTTCATCCTCCATTCCCTTCGTTAGATTCACTTCTTGTTCTTGTTTCTTCTTGTTCGGGCATTCCGATGCGTAGTGTCCGTATTGTTGACACTCAAAGCACCTTATATGACTTTTGTCACGTGTATTTCGATTAGATCTTCCAGCTTCTTGAGATGATTTCCTGTCATGTTGATCACCCCGACCACGACCTGCCCCACGACCCCCTCGTGTGCTCCCTCTACCGCCTCTATCACCATTCCAGCCTCTACCCCGACCACTAGGTGCCTTGTTCTTCTGTTTACTCACTGTTTGACCCTCCATCTTTGTAAACAACAATGAACTTTCACTTGTCGATCCTCCTTGTCGAAGCTTCAACCTGTCTTCATAGGCTTTCAATCGACCTATTGCTTCCTCAAAAGGCATTTCTTCTAAATTTGAATATTTCTCCATGGAAGCAATAAGATGAATGTATTTCTCTGTATCAAAGAGTTTTCGAACCAATTCTTCATCATCCAGTGTTGAACCGATACTATTATACTTTGAGATCATCCCGGATAACTTCCCCGCATACTCGTCAATAGACTCACCGTCCTTCATCCGAAGTGCCTCAAACTCACTCTTTAACGTGTGTGACCTGGCCTTCTGAACTCGTTCTGCTCCAACGAACCGAGTTTTCAGTGACTCCCACACTTCACGGGCTGTTTTCTTTTTAGCCACCTGCATCAAAATATCTTCTGGTATTGCTTGGAAGATGAACGCACGAGCCAATTTGCTTTTCTTCTCATCTACAACCACATCTGTTGCCGGCTCGATGGATTCTCATAACCCTTGTGCATCCATTATGGCTTCCATCTTAATGGCCCATGTCGTATAATTCGTAGAAGTGAGAACCGGGCACTGAAATGTAACTGAGTTTTCTTTGGGAGGGTTTGAGGTGTTTGTTACGAGAGACATTTCTGAGGATCGAATGATTTTGGCATGTACAATTAAACACCAGGCTTGTGCTCTGATACCAAGTGATGGATTCAAAGCCTTAAAACTGAACCGGTGATAACAAAGAGGATGAGTCACTATTGTAATGCTTCACAACCAAAACTTTATTGAATACTTCTTGACAGGGAAAAAAACATGAACAAAAAACAGAACAGAAACTAAAAATGAAGCTACTTGAAAGGCTGCTGTAACAGGCCTATTTATTCTTACAATAGAGTAAATAAAATGCTGAAAACTTGGTCCACCACCCTAGTATCATGGATAACTGTCGACTGTTACCCATCCATAATAACTCATCAACATTAAAATCATCATTAATCAACAAATATACACTTGTTTGTAAACAATCCAGAAAGTAAGAATATGAATGAAGAGTTTTTGGGTTTGCTGTCCATAAACATAAATCACATCTAAAATTTTTAAATTTTTTTTTTTTTTTTTTTTTTTTTTGGTTTTCTGATTGCCTGCTCAACATCTTCTTTGTATCATTGCTTGGAAGCAAAAACAATTTAATAATCTCATCCATGGAACTGCATTTCATGTTCTAACAGTTAAATAATCTCTCGAGAGATTCCAAAAAGTGACACAACCCGATTTGTTTATCACTCTAAACAATGAGATTTAATTTTTCTATATTTACACTAAAAATATTTTTTTTATCTTGATTTAATTCTTTTCGTGATTGATATACTTGTTACAAGCTACCTTCTAATATTTTCTATATAAACTTGTATTGTAACTTGTGGTTCCTATTTTTTATAAATCCAAAATTTGAGCCTCTACACAACCTTTCCCCTCAAAGATTCAACAAACAACAGAAATTAACAGAGGCTAAAAAAAATAAAAAATAAAAAATAAAAAAATAAAAAAAAATCTTACCAGTAAAAATAGTTGTAATCAAGGTTACTCATGTGAGGACATATCCATATCTCATATCTACGTAAATGTTGATATATCAAGTACATTAATTATTCATTTGTTAAATTCATTGTTTTACTTAGAGGAAATAAATTTTGCATATCAAGATTATAAACATGATATTTACCAAATAAACATTTTTTTATTATTAAAAAAATTACAATGTTGACTTCTAACTTTGAACTTGCAACATGCATGTTTGATAATTTGTATCCCAAATCAGGAAAAAGTTAAATTTAACCTAAATTGTACACTTTAATAAAAAAGAAATTCTAATGGGAAAGGATACATGTTCAATTTTCTAAAATATAGTTTTCATTTAATATTACTAGCTTTCATTTACTCTAAAAATATAAAAAAAAAAAAAAAAAAAAAACACAATATATGATAACAATAAACACTTGAAAGAAAGCAAAAGAGGTCTTGTTATTGATGTTTAGTTGTGTTTTTTTTTTCCCAATTCCACAATGTTTTCAATAGAGGGACCAAATATGTAAACATGCCAGAAATGTATGTACCAAACTAGTAAAATCAGAACATACAACAACACTACTACCAAAGACACTTTCACTCCTGCATATCAACCTTCTCTTCAACTACTTCAGATTCAATCTGCAAGAAATAGCAACATACTTTCATTAATTTTTTTTATTAAACAAAAAATTATTCAAAAAGGGTATAATTGGAAAGTAGTAGAATGCTATAAATAAAAACAAACCATGGGATCATTTTCTTGATTCTTGACATCTGTTTCACTTTCAACAGTTTCAGATGAATCAGATAAAGAGAGTGACACAAAACCAATAACACTTTCCACATTCTTCTCATCATCTTTTCCACTAACACTTTCATCCTGAGATAATAAAGAGATTAAGAATTCTATATTTAATAAGAAAATAGTTGAAAGTAAAATATAATTATATAATGAACCTGAAATTCAGAGGAAGTAATCTCAGGGGATGTTATTGTTTCATTCATCTTCTCTTTGTTGAATGTGATCTATGAGAGAAAGATTTAAAACTGTTGGAATAATTAAAGGTAGAATGATATAATATAATTTGGTATTAGAAAAAACTAACCTTAGGTTTAGGATTCCTCTTCTTCAATGTGATTCCTTTAGGTTTTGGTTTATCAGATTCATCATTCTTTCCCAGTAAAATTTCAATCTGAAATCGAAAGTCATGAGGTTGATATGAAGATATGGAGATCATTGTTTTAATTGTGAGAAAATGAAGAAACCTTAGCCTTCTGCATCGATTTTCCAGTGAATTCATCTTTTGTTTTGATGGTTGATATGGAGATCACTGTTTTAGTACACCAAATGTAGATTCAGATTGAATTTGTTTGATGTAAACAAATGAATTTGGAATTTGGATTCTTACTTTTCTGAGTTGCGATTCCATTTCCCTTCAGAATCTCAGAGATTACAACAACAGTTGGAATAGCTGCGTAAATTAGATGAATAGAAGTTGATTAAAGAAAGTTTTGAGTGTGTTCTTGTAGAAAAAAAATTAAGAAGATGTAGTGTTGGAATCTAACCCATTCCCAATGCAGTAAGCTCAACCTTATGGTAACGATGGATGTATTTCTGTCAATATTAAGAAATTGCATCAATTCAAGAAATGATATTATTAAGCAAAAGAATGTCACGGAAGATTCCATTCAAGAACTGAAGCGATCAGCCATGGTTAACAAGCAACAATTTCTCCACAAGATTATGGAACTAAACCCTAGTTTAAACTACACGTTAATCAATTGAACGCAATTTTGACTTTAAAACTCTACTTACAACTGAAATCATTACGTGATTGAAATTGAATGTTGGAAACCCTTGCGAAAACAGAGACTGTAAATTCAATTGTCAAATAACTTCGAGAGTTATTTACATTTGTGAATGGATCATGCAAAGTCAAGATACGAAACTATGAGAATTCAGATCAAAAAACAACAAAATAAGCGCATAATATGATCAGAAACAAGCAACAGTTTCTAAAACGCTCTCCGATTCAAATGCATTACACAAGTTCAAATAAAAAGCGATTAAGAAGGATAAACCCTAACCTTAGCGAGATTAAGGTAGAAGATGAAAGGCTTCTTGGTGTTAGAAACACGAATTCTATGATTCCTTGACATCTTGGCTGCTAGTGCTGCATCACTCTGTGCATCCATGGCGGCTATTCCAGACATCCTTCCCTGACTCCGTAACTCTCTCTCTCTCTCTCTAGAAATTTCTTGCTGCGACGTCGATTGAAGTGAGATTGACTACCGGTGGAAATGGAGCGGAGATCTTGTTTATATGGCTTCGTACATCCAATGAAAATCTGCCACGTGGGGGGCTTTGATTGGTTGATTCGTATGTTAGTTCACTAGGCAGTTATCTTCGAACGGGCATAGTGTTAGGCAGTTAGAAATATTTCCCGCCGAAATAACAAAACAAACAAAAAATTATTATTATTATTATTATTATTATTTTTGTAACAATTTTGAATTCCTGTATAAAAAAAGAAAAATAAAACACCTTTTTATGAAATATCTTATGATTTTTCTATTTTTTTTATTAAGATTCCAACTGAGGAATCAGAATTATCTCTGTGTTAGCTAAAAATTACTATTAGTCAACAATTGTTACAATATATTGATTAAATCATATATTGATATATTAGTTAAGTGAAAGTCTGACACTATTTTTTTCAGCCAAAGGGACTAATTGTTTTTTTATAGCGACTAATTTAAATTTGAACCGGGCGTTTGATGAGTAGAATGTATTTATTATTATTATTATTATTATTATTATTATTATTATTATTATTATTATTATTTTTGAAGTATATAAATTAATGTCAAAAAATGTTGGAATATGAGTAAATTGTAATTTGTTATGTGTTTTGGTAGGTAGAAAATAGAACAAAATTCAATTTATTTACAACGAATATATACGGATCATTCTAACAAATACATAAATGAAAGGGGAAATTAATTTGTTTGGGACTTTGAAGAATGCGAGTTGCATTGTATGATGGAATATAAAGGATTTCAAAGAATTACATTTCGTCAATTTTGCAACGAAAAATGCCATATAATATAAATCTTGAATTAGTTTTGGCAAAACCAAATGTCAGTTATATATAATTATTGATCAAGAATTGTTAATGCTTCACTAGCATGTTTTTTTACTAGAATACACTCGGTGCCTTTCTATTACTATCAAAACACCTAAATGTTCAACCAAGCACTACATTATTCAATGACAAAGACATAAAAATTCTCACATGAGTTGTGACTATTTTGAGGCACAAGTTATTTATAATTCTATTGGCATGATCCATAAAAGTTCTCACATGAGTTGTGTGTTGTATGCCACTATTTTTGATTAGTAGAAAGTGGTATAGGCACAAGTTATTTATAATTCTCGGCCTACGGCCCATGTGTTGTAATCTCATGTATAAATTATACACATATACAATGCAAATCAGTTTATATATCTTATATGGTATCAAAATAATAACATCGTTTATTGCTTATTCTCTTATTTCTTCTCTCATCTTCCTCTCAGTTGGCCCTCGCCATAGCCTAAACCCTAGCCAACTAGAACCCTTCCGCAACCATGGTTAACGAAACTACGAACAAAGATGCCATGCACAACCCTTCAAAATCACTAATTTTCGAGTCGATGCTCCCTTAACACTCGACACCACCAAGAAGCTAAACTATGACGTTTGGTGTAAGCTCTTCAAGTCATGTTGGCTAAGTTTTGGTGTAAATCACCACCTTAAATAGATGAAATCTGCTAACCCTAATCTCGAGTGGCAAAATCATAACTCCCTAGTAAAGGTATGGATATATGGGAGAATCAATAAGTCACTTCTTTATATGATCCTCGAAAGACATGATGGCTCACATCGCTTGGAAGAGTCTAAAGTGTTGGATTAATGTCTAAGTCCATAACTATTTTGGTATGTACTTGACCTGATTATGAGCATAGTCCTTTTGGGTTGCCTTCAACATAGCAATATGTAGGATGAATTAAGGAGAAAAAGGTTTAGTTATGATTTATTAATATATTATATGAATAATATATTAAAGGAGAAATCATATTATTTAATTAATATTAGTCAATAATTAATTAAGAATTAATTTTGAGGCTAAAAGAGATTAATTAAACTTAGGGGACTAGATTTGTAGTTATAAGATAATTGCAATTGGGCTATGAATTACCTAATAATATAGGTTGGATGAATTCTATGGGTAGCCCATAAGGAATTCGTCCAAGGGATATCATTAAAGGAGTCTATGGGCTGCTTAGGGTCTAAGCAATCAGATTAGGGTTTCCTAAGTGCAAAACCCTAATAGCCCTAGTATATAAGGAACCCTTAGGTACCAAAAACGTGGCTAACACTTGGATTAGGGTTTCCAACCGTTTTTGGTGCCTCCTCTCTCTTATCTTCTTCATCTTGTTGCTTAGTGGTGTTTGTGACTCCACTAGAGGTGCAACACTTGAGGCACTAAGCTTTCTGAAGCCAATGATTGATTGTTATTGCTATATAACAATCAAAAGTAAGATCTAAACCCTAATTTTAGTTATAGTTTATTAGATCTAGGGTTTATGGCTTTGGATAATCAATTGCATGTTCATTAGACAAACTAGATCCAAAGCTATTAGGGTTTGCATGTACACCATAGGATTGATGTATTGCTCGAAACTCATTAGTGGTATTAGAGCCTAGAGCTGTTTGTTGATGAATTGATGCTTATTTGATAGAAAATTAGCTGAAAAATCGAAATTTTTGAGTTTTTTCGACTTGACTCACAGAGTCAATTGGGTGACCCGACAAGTCAGAGACACAGAATGTTGATTTTGCAGGATTTTGACGTGTTTTGGCAGTGGATAATTACCTAAAACGTTTTTTATTAATAAAATCCGATTTTTATAAATATTTGGAGATTATCTTTGCTAAAATAGAAGATAATTGTCAAATTTTAGATAATCTTTTGTTTTATTAGATAAATATTGATTATTTGTAATTTGATTGAATTATCTTGTGAAAATGTTTCAATTATTCTCCCTTTAAGTTTTAGAGTTTAAATTTGAATTGAAAAGTTTTGTTTTTGAAATTTAAATAGTTAAACCCTAATGTTTTGAAATGTTTCAAAACTTTCCCTTAAGTTTTGGAATTTAAAATTTTGATTAATAGTTTAATTGTGTAATATTTAAATTCTAAAACCCTAGTATTTTGAAAAGTTCAAATTACACCCACATGGTTTTGTTAAGTTAAAAATGTAAAATACACCGTATACTATATATAACATTATAAGTCTAATATTATATATATGTATGAGTAAAAGTCAGTCTTACCTTTAGTAGGCCTCATTCACAAAGCTGGTCTTTAAGAGGTGTTTAAGGAAATTGCCTATAAAATGGCGATTGAATGGGTATCCACTCTTACCCACCACACTTTTGACTAGTGGAGGGTCGTTAGCCGAATGGGTAGGATAGGAAGAAACCTTCCGTTAAAAGTATAATGAAGTATGAATTAACTACATGCTTGTACAAATTCCCAAATTCTAGTTACTTTAGGCAAAATGTGAAATTGTATGCTAATCCATGGAATTACACTTCGTACCCTTGTCAAACATTAGTGGAGCATGTGTGGTTAACCGGCACACTAATTTGTGATTGACATTGGTGTCGAAGGGTGGCTCGATGTTTATCATAGATCAATGGAGCGTGTGTGGCTAACTGACACATTGATTAGGTGATAGTAGCATTGAGTGCACCACATAGATTCGTATGGTTATTCACACCTTGCTTGTGATCCTCGGCATCCTAGTCGCAAACTTCAAGGGCATAATCGAGATTAAACATGTCATTGAAAAGTTCAATGAATCTCAAAAGATCTAGGAGTTTCAATTCATTTAAAACATAAATTTCTTTTTCGTTTTTCATGGTGGAAATTGGTAAATCGTCATTTACCTACCTTCAAATATTTTGCAACTAGATTACGGCATCCCTCTTCTAGGTTGTAGAGTATTGTGTTGGATCCTGAACTTAATAACGCATTTGGGTGTTTTATTAAGGACTCAATCAACTTAACTTGAATTTTCTCCCATTTTGTAGATGTATGAATCTTACAATGGTCTTCCTAAATCCTCTGGAACAAGCTTTCCAAATGAAGATGCTGTTCAAAAATACGATCAAGGAAATGCGAGTCATGCTTCACTTCCTCCGCCTTCTCCAATTGTTCTCCCTGACCCACAAGTTTAAAGGCTTAAAAAGTTCAAGCTCACTCAAGCCCTTTTGGCAAGTAAACACGAAGATGGGAAACATGTGTGTGCACACATCTTAGAGATGAAGTCACACATTGATAGGTTAAGGATGCTGGGTTTCGATGTATCAGAGATGTTGTCTATTGACTGGGTTCTTCAGTCACTTCCTGATTTGTATAATGAGTTCGTAAGAGAGTACTATACAATGGTTCACGGCGTGACCCTCATCGATTTGACCTATTTGCTTATTGCTGCTGAATCAATGATGATTTGGCGTACTGGTCAAGCAAACTTGATTGGTCGATCAAACTCCCATACTTCATTGGACACTGGCTACATTGGAAGTCCAGAAAAGGATAAGATTGTCCCTTGCTATGTACCAAAGGAGTCCATTTGCTTTTACTGCCAAGAGAAGGGGCATTGGAGATGAAGCTTCCATGTTTACCTGAGAGATCTAAGAGATGGGAGAGTCAAGATGTATGGCTCTACTTCAGGTAAAATCCATTAACTAACTCTATAAGTTCCTATTATTTTGGTTCTTAATACATGATGTGATAAGATTACATTTTGATGTTTTGCAGGATCAAAGAAAAGAAAGGAAACTTAAGGAAGAAACGCGCTGAATCTGATCACGAAGAAATGGATTTTGATAGCATGGATTCAAAGATTGGATTTTTTAGCTGCTACTTTAGAGTAAGGGTAGATTGCTAATAAATATGTAATAGCATGATTTTTCAGTTAAATTGCATTGTAAGGACAATTTTTTCCGCAATAAAATAAATTTTAAGTTTTATCTTATTTATTTATCTTTACAATGGCGTGTTTGAAAAATTGATGTTTGTGTATTTCTATTATTAGCAAAATGGATTTGATTCTTAATTAGGTTATTTGTGGAAGTGTCTAGAGTTTACCAAATAGAGAGAGTTTCTCATCGCCCAAGTTTCAAGTGGATAGAAACTTGGAATCATGAAACGTGTATTGTATGATGAATGAA